CCACTGAAAGACAGTCTGTCTGAAGATGAGACCCTAGCTCTTTCCCAACCTACCACAGACGTAGAGCCATTTAGGACAAAAAAAAGTGATATTCTCTGACCACGTATGAAATGTGAAACTTGGTAATCTCTCAGTTTGATGAATTTATGTAGGGGTCTACATTTATCTACAGGGCCAATTCACTCTTCCAGCCACTCAGTCAGTTTGCTGATGAATGTCTGAAGGCAGTAGAGGTACACAATCAACCCTCCTGTAGAGACTTTGTTGACTTTATGAATAAAAACTCTGCCATCCCTGCTGATATGAATATTTCCACTTTAGTTTTAAATCCCTCAATAAATACTAATATATTCTAATGTAAGGACATTAAAGGGCATCTCTCGTTCTTTGTACAACCTGTGGGATTTCAAAAGGAATGTAAAAATGAATTAATTCATTTATTGATCACATAATGCTGATATATTGTTGATGTATTCATGTTGTGGTCTGGGTCCACTGAGCTACCATCAGGAGTACTTTATGTATTCATATACAATAATGAGTACTTACTGTGCCCGGGGGACCTCAAACTCAATCAGAGCCACTCCTCTAACAGCATCAGCTTTCATCATTTCCTCATTAAGAAAGAGGTCAATGACCTTTCTAACACCGTTCTCAGCCCGTACAGTGATAAATCGCAAGACCCTGAACTTGAAGCAGCTAAATGGAATTCAGCCATCAATAGTTTATTTAATGCCTGTTCTTTCCCTACTGTGACATGTCAACATTAAAAAAGGCTCGTTGCTCTCACGAGAAGCATCAACAAGGCTGACATGGAGAGACATGGATACTTGGTCACAGAATTTAAACTCTGGTCATTACAGAGGGTTGAGCCCCCCATAGGGCTGAAGAACACTACAGGCTCTGTACCAGGCTCTACTAAAGCCAGACACCCAGGAGATTTGTTGAGTACTATACTTGCTCCCCAGAGTACATTTAGGTCTTTGTCTTTCTCTCCCATCATCTTTGGCTATAGTACATAATGCTAAAGTAACACAATTTATCAATTCTTTCTCTCTCTCTCTCTCTCTCTCTATATATATATATATATATATATATGTATAATATCTGCTGAGTGTGTAAGATATCGTTTGTGTGTCCCAGGAGAGCTTATATTAGTTCCCCTTCTGCATACGGTTCTTTGTAAGTTTGGACCTGATATTTATGCACTTCAGTTCAATATAAGACAGTGACCTTCCTTTTATATCTATGTTTCTATTTAACAATGAAATCCCATGACTGGACTATATCTGGCCTCTAGATTTTTCCCAATATCAAATCAAAGATAATATTATTATGATAAACGGGTGGCACACTTGAAGTTTTATTCTTATTATTTCTCTTATTTTAACCAAGGCTCATAGGTTTCTCTTTTAATGAAGACATGCAAGTTGTTGAGTGTAAACACAGACATCAGGTAGGAATTTAAAAGCAGACATAAACACAGACATTCTCCACTGTCTCTAAATGAATGTCTGCTACACTCTAACCTTCTAACTTGAGTCAGTTTTATAAGAAAGAAGAAGTGTTGAATAAGGATGCCAACAGCCCATTTTATTATCTAGAGTAACACTCAGAGGCTAGATTCATTGTGGATCACACCCGTTACTAATTTTTTCTTCTTCTTTCTGTTTATCTTGTATGTTTGAATAGAATCCTCAGTTTGTTTTGTTCCCAGAATTGTTACTTCCTCTTTAGTTGGAATTTGACGTCTTCCTCTCTCCTTCGCTTTGCCAGGGGAAATGTGGGCATAATATCAAGTCCTATTTTAAGCTTCCTTCAATAATAACATTCCTGAGGTTGACAACACAGGCAATATACAGTCTCATCACTGGGCGGGTTTCAAAGAATGATTGTTAGCAGGGTTGTTTGGCTACAGAGAAGTACAATCACTCATCTTCATCTCATAAAATCTTACTGACACTTTAAAACTAATTACTGCATGCCTGAGAGGTGCTTAACAGCCTAATTGATTTCTAACTAAAGCATGTTTCTGTGGAGAGAGAAATTATTCATATGCTTTACATCTTCTTACCTGTAGCTGCACTGTTGATACATGTATGCACCTGCACGTTATAAACAGCTTCTACCTCGAAGTGTTTTCCATTTCAGCCTGTCATTTAGAGTTTGGATAGAAAGTGGATTGCTGTACTTTTTTTTTTGTGGTGATGGAGGATGCGTTTCACGTAGGCAGCCAACCGCAGGAGAAAACCTCCCACACTCCTGTGCCTCTGAGAAGCTGAGTCATCCAGCTCTGACACGATGGATGTGGTGGCTGAGAGGGAGCCAGGCCCGTCATTGGCTACCGCCGGCCCAGGTACCCTGCCCTGCTGCCTCTCACCGCTAACGTAGGTAGATGAATGAGTATAGGGTGAAAACAAAAAGGACCGCTCTGACCTTTCCAGGCGTGTGTTACAATATATGCGTGCTAGCAGTGGCGTTTACTGAGTCAGACTGTGTCCAGTAACTGTGGCTATAGAGAGTACATTGGACTCTTAATGAGGCTTTGATGTCGCTAAGTTATTTCATTGCGTCCAGCTTTCTAAACGAAACAATACTGTTTCGTTTGATGAGGCCTTGCCAGGATGTGATTCGGGGCCCGGTGTTGTTCTTGGATCCGGACTCAAAGGCCCCTATCATGTCCATCCATTTCCCAACAAAAACACAGCTTCAGCCATATGTCATCACATTGCTTAATGAGCCCCATGCTTAAGGCATTAGTCTAGGGACAGTGGGGTTAGGGGGTGGGGGCTTACAGATCATTAGCAACCATTGAAAACATCCACAGCTTTCCAACAGATTAAGTGAAACATGTGTCACTTGATAGCTTCACATGGCCAGTGGTGGCAGCCAATTATGCTCCAGTCAGACTGCAGATGCATGACACAGGCTTTAACTTACAGTATACTGTACATGACCACTTCCTTAGAGATGCTGCATCGTCAGCCAACTGTCTGTATGAAGTAATTACAGTTTATTTGTGTGTGTGTGTGTGTGTGTGTGTGTCAGATGGGTGATGTTTCATTTTCAATCTGACAAACAAAGCTCAGTGATTTCAGAATCCTGCTTTCATACAACAAATGCATTGGCAGGACATGAAAGTGCAGTGAGAATAAATGTTCTCCTCTCTGCGTGATGTTTGATTCCGAACAATTAAGTCCTCTCACATTACATGAAATGCAGCCAGGCTTCTTAGAGAAAGTGGATAATTGTACGGCTGTGGGAGTGAACGAGCAGAACCGCCTGGGTGACTTCAGAGCTGAGGATGAGGAGGTGTGTGTGCGTGTGTGTGTGTGCGTGTGTAGGTGTTTAGAGGAGGACAGATGACAGAGGAACTGTGGGCCGATGATGCAATAATCTGTACTAATGCCGGCTGAACAGGAAATTGCATCATCAGTGAACTGTACTTGGCACGAGCTGTGTGGCGACATCACTGCACGTCTATTGTCAACAGAAACAAAGTTAATATAACTGATACTGCCAACATTTATTTAATGATTCAGTGTCAATGAAAATGTTTGTTTTGTTTGGTTTTATGACCTTCCTCATGTTGATTCATTCAATAACTCCATGCTTCCTGATGAGGCTTCCAGGGAAAAGAATGTCTGCAGGTCAGAACAGGGAAATAAAGGGGCATCATTAATCTCCAGCTGTACTCATTTCTACTCATGAAATAGTACAGGATTAAAGTATACAGACACTGTCTTGACTCGTACTCGTATTAACATGACCAATCTCTCATGTTCAAAAGAACTAGGTACCGTACTTCAAGATGGCATCCATTCATTCCAGTGGAAGCTGCACACACAAACAGCTTTTCTGCTTCACTCACTGCACATGTGCATTAGTGTCTCTCTCTCTCTGGCCGTGCCCACTTCTTCCATAGACCTTTAACTAACACTATGTCACACTGGGATAAAAGTGGTTTTCTTGGCTCTGGGAAGGTTTTATAATCATTAAATCTGTACGGTTCAGAAAGTACTAATACAAAGTATAGTAAGTAACCTTGTCTGCAGTTTGAGGTGTCCCTGTAACAGTTTTACAGACAGTTTTAATAGTAGTGTGCACAGGATTTGTTGCTGCACTACTGCAGTTGGCCACCAGGGCAACCATCTAAAGACTTTCTAATCATATATGGTTCTTAGGCCCATTTCCATTTGTTCCTATTGAAGATGTAAATCTTTGTAAAACAGATCCTGAATATATAAATGTATTTATAATTTTCTAAGATAGCTTAGTTTTTTACCAAAGCGTAACTAGGAAAGGGGCCCGTGAGTCCTCGGGATCGGGGTGCTGACCATGGACCATGGTGTCCCCAGTTTGCATCCCTCTATTCTAGTCAACTCTCAATAATAATAACAATTAAAACAACAAAAAGGATTAAATAGTGTGTTTGTTGGGGATTATTTGGTGTGCTAGTGTATATATATTGTACCAGTGTTTGGGGATGGACTCAAAATAATCAAAAAATAAATAATTTATTACCATATTTATGGTAATAAAGGAACATCTGGTGCAAACGTGCGGCTCATTGATCTGTTTTAATACTGTTTTCATTTAACAATAATAGAGCTCTATGGCGCCAGAGGCTTTATCAGGCTTTGAATACACTGCCAGTATTAGTTAGGGGGGGTCAAATCCTTGTTGGTTTTGGTCTTTCCATGGAATGTGTTAACAGTAGGAAAAATAAGTAACATTAGCAGTCTTATCCCTCCCCTCTAGTTGTTTAATTTATTCCCATTTCTATTGTATCAGTTAGCAGGCATTAGTTTGGCCTTTTTGAAACAAACCAAAAGCATTAATAAAAGCTCCCCTAACCTGCAGGAGGGCATCACCTGATGTTGGTGCTGTGATTACAGTAAACCCCAGTGTTTACCCCCCCAGGCCCCTCTCAGGACACGCCCCTGCTCGGACGCCTGGAAGTCCCTAGACCACCGTTTGGGAACCCCTTTAGCAGCCCGTCCTCCCTTTGCACCTCCTCAGTAGTGACTTCAGCCCCGGTTGGAGGGGGAGGAGCAGGCTGGGAGGCTCTGCTCTCATGTTGATGTTTGTTGTTTGCGAGGGAGGCAGCACTGTGTGGAGAGGGACACAGTGTGAACGGAGGGTTGCCAGTACCTGCCTGCACGCTTTTCTTGGGCTCCCCCCCCAATGCTGCAACTTTTTTTTTTTTTTTAACCGAAAACGCGGCTGAACCGGTGGAGATCTCCGATGATTACTGGCCGATTGTCGCTGTGAAACACTTGGGCATATGGCAGTGAAGGTCCTGCTCGGTTCGCGTTGTGCGCAAAGACTCGTAGTGTCTGTCTGAAAGCGACGGCCAGTCAGGATGCTGGAGCTCGTCTGAGAGCACCCCGTCTTTTCTCTGGATTCCCCATTTATTTTTTTTTAATAAAAAAAAAAAAAAACGAAGTTCTGCCTTGTGCCAATTTCCAACTCTTTTTTTTTTTTTTTTCCTCACCCGTAAACTTCTAAAAATGGTGTTCTTCGCTTTGTCGTCGGCTCGTAACAAACCTGGATAACGAAAGGAGTAGCTAACGTGACAACACCCCAACACGACGACCAGCGTCACTTTGCTTCGGTAAGGCAGCGCTTCAACTGTCGCTTCAACGGTCGTCCAACGGGCAGAGCACAGACACACAGCCGGGATGTGAAGCCGTGCTGTGTCTGATGTTATGTGGCTGACAGCACACTCAAAAAAACAACACAAAAAAGAGAGAAAGCCCTTCATTTTAGCTCCTCTTCAGCGTTGAGAGCTCAAAGTAAAACAGCCAAGTCAAACGCGTGTGTTTAGTCCTGTGGGTGAAGTGAGCGTCTAGCGCTGCTAATTAACACAAGTTGACAGACGTGCTAACATTAACTTACAGTCAGCCCATCAACTTGCTAGCCGCGTTAGCTTCAGCGGCACTTTTAGATTCAGTTGCTATAAAATGCTAACCAGGTTGCTTGCTAACAAAGGCGCTGTTACCGTGAAGCTGCGGTATGTGTGAGCAGCCGGTGAAGTTATTTGCTAAGTTAGCTAACGTTGGGTTAGTTAAAAGCCGCTGTATTGACTTTATTTGTAGCTTTCCGGGATTCACCGGGAGTCTGGGTGGGTTTTGAGAAAGCTACATGGAGGTGGTGTGTACGTTAGCTTGGTATTATTAATAACAGGAAGTGTGTCTTGCACTTTTCACAAACTTTTTTTTTTTTATTCCCACCTACACTACACCCCAGGCATGAAAAGTTTTGACCTTGAACTGGTTTATTCTCTTCACAGAGGCACATCTGCCCCGGGATTTATTCAGCTGTGGGGCTTTTAATCAGCCGTCGATGCATCTCGGGGTATCTGAGTCCATGAGAGAGTGCGAGTACAGCCAGATAAGCACTCGCAGCTCCACACCAATGGAGACTCCTTACAAGAAAAGGACCCCAAAGAAGAGGAAGTGGGAGTCCTTCCCAGGTCGGAATAAATTTTACTGCGATGGGAGGATTATGATGGCCAAGCAGACAGGGGTTTTCTACCTCACCCTTGTCCTCATTCTAGTGACTTGTGGACTTTTCTTCACCTTTGAGTAAGTATTGTTCAAAGTGTGCTCAGCCTCTTCCTGCTCTCCTCTGCTATTTACTTGTGCACGTTGACATTGTGGATTAGGGATTTCATTTCACAGGCTCAGCTGCCAGAGAAAAAGTTTTAGATATAGGTCAGTTATGTCACTGGCATCACTGGGTTTATTCCCTATGATCTCCTCGGGCTCAGGGAGATGTCAGTACGAACTGGTTGGGGATTCTCTTCTCTGTTTTAGGTAATATAGAAGATATACTAATGGCATTTATTTAGCAGTGGCAGCAGCGTTTTAACAGGAGCTGTTGCTGATTGAAAGTGCTCTGTGGTTGCGGTCAAAGGGTGTGGATTTCCTCTCAATTTGTTTATGCCTCATATGTGCCCTTCTGGTGTATGCATCTTAAAAAGGGGGGCAGGCAGCACGTGATCCACATGTACCATTGTGGATTTGGTATGCTGGTCTTAGTGTCTAAGAGCATCCTCATTCAAACTACTGTTGGCAGACGTTCTCCAAGTGTCCTTGAACGTGATATTGAATCCTGACTAGTTGTGTATTGTGTGGTAATTTGACCTTCATATTGAGCATAACTGAGTAAAGGGTTATAATCCAGATCTCTAACAATACCTCAGTTCAGCATTTTGTCTTCAGGATCAATTTCCCTGACATCTTTGTGACACGTCCCCCCTGACACATGGAGTGACTACAGTGTCACTTGCGCCCCCTTAATCACGTGATCCTCAAAGGAGCCCTCTGTCTTTCTCTCACTGGTACAGCAACCTGTAATCAACAGACACACTGTACTCATCCAGGCCTTCATCATCACCTCGTCCCAGATGTCCTCAGTTGCCCACTGTGACTGAAGTGCATGGTACGGCATGTAGACACACACAGACCTGAGTACTGGAGCGTACCACGAGAGATAGTGTCTGTCCTTATTATTCCAGAGTAATCACCTTGTCATCTATCATCTCAGAAAACCCATCTATACGAGATAAAAATCCTGCTCCATCATGAGATTTGTTGCTCATTGGGACAGTCTTTATCAGGCTAAAGTGCTTCAGAGCCAGAGAAAGCTTAATAGGCAAAATATGTGCTGTGGTTGATGGCTGCTGTTCAGTATCTGGACTGTAAAGATAGTCTGTGCTTAATGATCTAGGAGTAAATCAAAAGACAGTGAATAGTATAGCACACAACCACGATAACAAACAGCATTGTTACTGTTGTGTCCTCACATGATTTAGGAGATTTTGAAAGGACTTACTATGATGTCATTTTAGTTTTTAGCGGTATGTTTGGTAGCGCTAAAACAATGAGGCGATTAATAGATTTGTTGACAGAACATTTTTATAATAGAAACATTATCCTGTTTGAACTTCTCCGTTTTGAGGATTTGTCTGTTTTATATCCTTGTAAATTCAATATCTCACTAAACAAGACATTTGTCACTTTGGG